GAGAGAGAGAGAGAGAGGGAGACCCGACGGGCTGGCGAGCCAGTACGATGTGTAAGCATCCATTTTCTTCTCTGCCAAAAAGTTGTCCAGCTCTCCCGATTTGTCTCCTATGAAACCCTAGCCATCGTCACCCGATGTCAATCGAAATAAAAGAAAGCCAATTTGGATTTTCGGCTCCATTTTTGGGAATCCTCAAGGTAATAAAGGCGCTGCCTGTTGTTTTGTTTTTGTTTTTTTTTTTTCCATTTGTGCCTCATTGCGTTTGGGTTTTAATTCGTGATTTCGATGGAGTTTTTGTTGTCAGCTGAGGGGTTTTTACTGTTTATTGTGTTGTGAAAGAGCCTTTTGATTTTTTTGTTATGTTTATGTGATTCTTTTGATAGTTTTGTTTTAGTTTTTCTGATGTTTGAGGTTTTGTTCGAGTCTTTGGAGTTGTTTTGTACTATAAAAATCCAATCATTTTGAACATGTTGATCTTGATGAAATCGAAAAAGAAGAACCAGAACAGTCTGATAAAATTAATAGTCCTTTGCAGGTTGGGAATGAGAAGAGCTCGGAAGTTGACACTCAGGTGGAGCAGGTAGTGAATGAGAAGTGCTCAAAAGTTGACACTCAGATGGAACGATTGATAATGTAAAGAGCTCTGAAGTTAACACTCAGGTGGAGCAGATTGTGAATGGGAAGAGCTCGGAAGTTGACGCACAGATGGAGCAGATTGTGAATGAGAAGAGCTCTGAAGTTGACACTCAGGTGGAGCAGAATGGTCCACAGAAGGACACGAACAAGAAAAGCTTGAACAAAATGGTTAGCTATTTCGTACAAGCCGTGGATGAATATAAGCATAAGGTTGCATTTGGGTGTTTCGAAATTATGATCTTCGTTTTATAAAAATTACCCTATGGTCCAGTTTGCATTCTTTTAAAAGTTTGGACATCTGCTCAAAGTTATAAAAGCACCTACTATTAATTTGTATGAGGGAAGCAAATGTATATGCGATCTCGAATGATAATCGGGTCTTTCTGTGTAGGTTTACCTCATGATTTTAGTTTTTCAGTCATAAAATATGTGGCTCATTATATTTTCTTACAGGTTTCTGAAAGGTTGGATGAGGACCCTTCTCCTAATGTCCCTTTACAAAAGCTTGTACTTTAGTTCACAGAAGAGGTATGATTGATGTCTTTTGAAGTGTTGTTGTTTTTGTTTTGTGGTATAGCAATGTATATTATTATAGATTATTCTTTTTTTCTTCCTTTTTGTAGACAATCTCTTGATGTGTAGCGACAGTTGCGTTTAAGTGACCAAAAATGGCTGTTGTGTTTATTTACGAGTATGTGACCTTAACTAGATATGAGCTCGTGAACTATGTATTAGTTTCGCTTATTGTCCTGTAAAACCATTCTTGTAGAGTTAAAACATGAGAAACTGGCCGCTTGGCCTGAATTTTGTGATGTACAGCATGAGAAACCATTATTTACGAGTATGTGACCTTAACTAGATATGTCTTAGTGACAAATCTTCAAAAATCATTGACCTGCCACAAATACCTTCCGCACTTCACCAACCCTAACCCAATAAATTACTCTAATTTCTCTTTCATTCTTTTTTCCCCTTTCGGCTAAACTGTGCACATCGGAGAAAGAAAAATCTTCGCAGCCGAAAACCTAAATCTCTTCCCTATTTTTCACACCACACGGCAAGCACATTTTCTGGCAGCGCTGAAAAGATCTATGTGACAGATCCGACGACAATCCAACGGCAAGAAGAAGGGCTGCGAGAACATGACCTCGCGTGAGTGATAGAATAATCAGGCTTTTGGCGGTCAATGATGGTGGCGCGACTAAGAGGATGTATACTATCGCAGTTCAGTGCATCATGAGATGTAGAATAGAAGACCGGTCAGGACACCAAAGTAAATTCGTCCTCTTTCTCGTTACATCTTTCTTTCTTTGCATAGAAATGTGGAATTTGCTTGCGGGTTTATGTTAAAGTTCCAAGCTTTATTAAATATTTGTTCAAAAAATGAGTTCTTGAATGAAAAATCCTTGGTGGGCTAATGTAGTAATGTTCGCTCTGCCTTTGTCAGTGGTAAAAGGTATTTTTAAGGCTTGGGTTTTGGTGGAGTTTACATGGAAAGTGCCAGTTGGGTTGTGTCTGTTGCTTTCTTGAAATTTTACCCTTAACTTTTTTCCTCCATTAAATTTGTTTGTTTTATTCCTTGTTTTGTGTGATATTTGCAAGATTTTAAGGCACATGATTAGTGGTCCTTTCTCAATATTTGTTACAGTAGCCCGATTATCCCTTTCTATTCATCACATTTCACTGGTCCATGATGTTTATTTCTTGTTTATTCATTAATGTCATTGTTTGGTTAGTAACGGGTTTTTTCCTTGTTCTTTCTCAATTTATCCGACTTTTATTCTATTTTTGGATTATTGAATTGCATCTTTGAATATGAGTGTTCTTTCTGTTATGAGATGTAATTTCTTGAAGCATGAGTTTTCTCGAATTGTCATAGGGTTGTAAAAAACTTACAGTTCTCCTTTTGATTTTAGGGATTAGTGTGTTATAACTTAGTTTCATAACTTGGCAGATTTTACCCTAATGCACAACTTCTGGAAGCATTCCAATTACATGGCAAGGCGGAAAAATGCGATCCCAGTAACAAAAAGCCGCTCATGTTCTTAGCTTAATCACAAAAGAGTACAATGATTTACCATTCCTTTTTTTTTGGGGGTTCTCTGTTTTTCTTCAGGTAATGGTTTTTGTGTTATTTCTGCAAATACCTTTTAGAGATGTGCAGTTTTTAAAATACAATGTACAACAAATTTTAGTAGAATATTCATCTAATAATGTCTTTCAGATGAAAGTTTAACTAAAAATAGAAGCTAAATAAAATGACAAATAGTAAGTAGTCTCATGGTTAGCTTAATTACAAAAGAGCCCAATTATTTACCATTCCTTTTTTTTGGTGTTATTTTTACAAAATGCCTTTTCGAGATGTGCGGTTTTTAAAATACAAAGTACAAACAAATGTTAGTAGAGTATTCATAAATCATAAGTCGCTACAATATTTGTTTCTTTGTGCACACAGGTACATTCAGGGCTATTAGAAGAACCTCACATTCCTCACTATAAAGGTATATTTACAGACTTTCCATTAACAATAATATAATTTTACTAAAAATGGATGATGATGATGATGATGATGATGATGATGATGATGATGATGATGATGATGATGATGATGATGATGATGATGATGATGATTGTAAACTATACATTGTGCACGGAGCTGGACACACGTTGCCAGAATACAAACTACATGAGGCTTTGCAGTTCTATGATGATGATGATGATGATTGTAAACTATACATTGTGCACGGAGCTGGACACACGTTGCCAGAATACAAACTACATGAGGCTTTGCAGTTCTATTCGCGTTGGCTGAAGGGCCTTACGATTTGAAACAAAAGCTGTTTATTTATCTTCATATATATAGCCATGAGGCCTGTTAATATGCTTCTTTTCAATGGCTTTATTTTTACATGTCTTACATTCAACTATGTGGTTCTAGGTATGAAACTTGAGCTCGATTTTGTTTGATCACTCTCTCTCTCTCTCTATATCTTCTCTCTCTTTTTTAATGTTATTTTATTTGCAGGATCTCCTTCAGAAAACCAATGCTACAGGTGCATCATGGAATATTATACTAGGCGATATCGGTGTGCATATATAGCAGGAGGTTGGTACATTCATCATTTGCCTATTCTCTATTTATAATATTAATTTTCGGATTTGTTTTTCTCTAACCTGCTACTCCTTGCTGCCGTTAGGCTATGATCTTTCTGTAATCTTCTTAATTGTCGTTGGTCAATATATATCTCACTTGAACATCATAAATAGTAATTACAAAGATTATGATGGCCATTTGTCAATATATATGATTGACCGAAACATCAGTACATAGTAATATTTTATAGATACCACGCGTCATTATCTATAATAATTATTGAATTAGAAAAAGGAAAGGGACTCCTAAATTTCAGTTTCAATTCCAACTCTGCAACTCTGAGAAGTTGGACATATGTGGAGGTTGATGGTGAGGTCAATATCAAGTTAGATGGCAATAAATAAGGAACTCCTAATTGTAGATGTCTCTTCATATCTTTATATACGATCAGAAATTTGATTTCGCATTTTTATAATTTTTTACTAAATTTCATTTTTCTTATCACAGACCAATAAATTCTTGAAGGTAATTGGATTTCCGGTAGACGTAAAATACATCGATCCAACTTACTTGATCCATACATGTAGTGCAAGTGCATTGGACGAAACTCTCTTGGTCATAATATTGTAAGTCCTCTTCTGCCTACTTAGCAATGCCATTACTTTTCCCTCGAAAGTCATATTTTGAGTGTCCAAGTGTTTTTATTCTTAGTTTATAGTTCGCAAGGAATCTTTAAATAAACAGAAGATGGGACTTTTGGTTGAGAGCTTTGAAAATCGGTAAGGAAGTTCATGCAATTTTGAATTCCTTAAATGACATCCTATTGGAAAATATTTGGCTAGAATGAGCATTGTAATAAATTCTTATTTTGGAAACAAAGTACATTATGAATTTTTTTTGTTAAATTTGTGTCCAGACTATATGATGAACTCTGGCTGAAGGTTGTGGTTTCAAATTTTAAGAACACTGAAAATTCCGATGAGGGTTTTGATAGTATAAAACTCAAGGACCAAAAGATTTTGGAGGAGGTTCAATTTCATCACCTACAACACTATTTTAGGTAATTAGTGTATTATTTAGGTAATAACTTATTGTGTATTATCTAGGTAATAACTTATTATTAGCTTTTTTAATGACTTTTCGGTCCAACTATACTTGCATCCACGCTTTCGGCGCTATATTATTAGCTTGTTTCAATTCTTCAAAATATAGATGTGGATCTAATTATTTTGGATCATTATCGGTCAACTCCTCTACTGTCAGTGTAATCAGTTAATTAAACTAATCTTCAATGAGTCAAGTTTGTTGCATATCTTATTCTCGCTATTGAATACTGCAGCTAGCTAAGGGATACTCTAATACCTATGTCAAACATTCTTCTTGACAATGTTGGTGAGATCAATTCCGACTTTGCCGTTGTTTCTACTTTACGAGGTAATTGATTTTTTTTTTTTTTTTGTTTTTGGAAATAGGATAGTTCACAAAATGACATGGAAGTGTACGAGAATCTTATTGTAGGATAATCAGGTTCAGAATGATTAATGTGTTTTTCCGATCTTTTCGCCATGTGTACATCATGTGCATATATGTTAGATTTGGTTTAATGGTTGAGTAATGAAATCATCCAGGATTTTGTGATATGTATATGTTACCAACTGCTGAGGAAGCAGATTCAGAGCTTGAGAAACATCTCGAAAATATATTAGTGAATGAGGAGAGAGAAAATATCTCACTTTTATGCTTCCATATCAACCCCTATGTCATTTTAAATGGATATGTGACACAATTATATGGTTAGTTGTGAAGAGATGACACAATCATACGTTTAGTTAACATAACATAATGGCGTTCCTTTGGAAGAATTGCATTTATTTATTTATTTATTTATTTGTTTTGAATATTTCACAATAATAGACTAGACTCGGGCCGGCTGTGCGTGCACAGCCGAGAGCCCACTAGTATTATATATACAACATTGGCACGAAGTATTATACATATCTTACATTTTATTTAATTTACATCCGATCCACAAATTGCTATCTTATTGGATGAACTAGCAGTCTCCGACTGTGCGGCCCAACAATTACATTATTTGAGTAACATCCAAATATAACAGCAACCATTCTTATATGTAAGCACCAAAATATTACATAAGAATATGTTTGTCCGAAGTCTTGAAGGTACATACATAGACCATACACACAAACTATCTACATAAACAGAATGTAGTCATTTGTGCAAAATGTACTTAGTAATGAGTGGCTAAATCAAAACGTAAAATATTAATGCTCATTAAGCAGTTGCATTACTATATGCTTAATTAGCAATAATATTTCTAAGAAAATGCCACAGGTCAAAATAGTTGGGGTTCATTGTCATCTCCCTTACAAAAGCAAATGACCTAAAATATAACGTGCAAGTTAAAGATCCAAAATAAGTGGTTCTTTGTTCCACCTTTGAAGGGCCGATAAGTTGCTTGGCTGATTTTTCATGTTCGGCTTCTCCCTCGGTATCAGTTACGAAGATTAGTTTTCGTTTGCTGGAGCTTCCTGATGATTGTTTTTCCTCCCCTTTTTCCATTCAGAAATATTGTGAATCATCGCCTAGAAATGGAATTTGCCTATCAGTTGGTGTTACAAATGCTCCTCCGCCGCAACTTGTTTATCCTTGTCAGTAGTGCATTTAGCAGTTACGTTGAAATGAAAATGAACTGAACTTCAAAAAAATTGCGTGAACTTTAATGTGTACCATTCTTGCACGCTGCCTTGCTTCTCCATGAATCTCATCTTTTAAGTATAGTTTCACTATGTTGTAGTCACCTATAATAAGACAATAATTTATTTCAGCTTCTTGACATATAAATATACAATAATATTTACTTTGAATATTATGTTGTTAACACTAACTATTTTATTAAGCGATGCTAAAGCTGCTTGAACTGTGACAACATCATTGCCTCGGTTGTGGCAAAAGGATAGAGGTATTTGCGAATGCTTTATTTTCAATTGGATGGGCAACTTCAGTTTTGTGCGCTATGTACTTGTAATGTGCTCCATATTAGATTTATTTTCAATAAATTGTTGAAAAATAAACTTGTATGTTTACCATTATTTTAAATTAATCGCCTATTGCATAGGTGAGTTGGTTAAAATGTAGGTCGGCAACCTTGTCGTTAGAGATAAACTTGTGTGTGAATGGATGCTGTTTACAGATGAAGGTTGTGACTTTGATCCTCATTGCGAGCACTATATTTCTTGTTGGGATTGTTGATGATAGTTGAACACCTTCATTCTCTTCAAACTCATTCCATAGAGTGAACAACATTGTTCTTTTCCTGTAACATATATATTAAAGTAATTATTTCATGTATATTAAAGTACATTATTATTATTATTATTATTATTATTATTATTATTATTATTATTGTCACAGAAACAAACAGTAAACATAGCAGCTCACTAACTCTTCATTGACAATGACTATATCCCTTGGTTTTGAATCTCCAAGTCAATGAATATATCCCTTGTTTTTTAATCTCCAAAATCTTTTCACAGGTAGGGCATGCACGACGACACCCATGATGTCTGAAACAAAAAATATAATAGTAATATGGTTATTATTTTTTCGTTTTTGGTAATCTTTGTAAAAGTGCAATGAAGGCATTCTGTGAGTATTTTATTGATATACTAACATTGCAGATTTTCTGTGTCAGCAAATTGGTATAAATTCTGGAATTGTTAGATTTCTATGTGGCATGGAAATTGTGGGGGCACTGGTTTTTCGTAAGCTTCAATCAAGGTTCTCTTTTTAAGGGTCCAACTGTATGCATAGTCACTAACTTGATATAATAGATTAGCTGCACCGACAATTGCATTGGAGACATAATACCGCTTGTAAGGCACCAAACCAAGGGTAAATCAGCGGAATACACAACTGCAGATAGTTTTGTTCCCTACTCGTTTATTAAGAATGAAACAGTCAGGCTATATAATTTTAAATTATAAGCATATTTGAAATACAACAAAATTATTTATCGATTCACTTTGCATAAAATGTAAGAATGAAATATTCAAGCATAAAATGTACTTTGCGTAATTTACTTACGTCTGAATCTGTGAGCAAATGTCTTCTGTATGAGACATTCTTTGGTGGCTTGCTACGCTGGATATGATTCTTCTCCACAACCTGAACAATTGCGGTCCATGCCGATGTTTTGTTATCAACTTCTTTAATTTTGGACAAACTTCCTCGACATCTTGACCTACATAAAATAAACATTATTTATAATCAAATCTTATATGTATATATGATAACCATATATGAACATTAAAGGTGTACTTTTTCAATGAACTGAAATTACTTTGATTAGTCTTCGTCATTTCCAAAACTTCTTTATAAACAATATTCTTTGTGCACTTTACGCTAACCTTGCTAAAGAAAGCATAGCTTATTAACATCTTAACATTTGCAGCTGCACGTGCACGTGATAATGCAACATACAATTGTCCATGCGAAAATACCGGTTCTTTGAGGTAAATTCCAACAACATCTAATGTATGTCCTTGTGCTTTATTGATAGTCATTGCAAATGATAATCACATATGAAATTGAGTTTTTTTATATGGGACAGGATATTGTTCATTGTTATCAATGCTTACAAATTCGACCAACCTGTACGTCCCTTAGCATTATTTTGATCTTGGTTATTTTGAAGAGAACCATTACTATTTGGTTATTAGCTTGGCTAATTGCAGCACTTGTTTGTGTAGAACTTTGACCGCCTGACAATGACCTAACATGACTTAAAGATAGTATTGAACATTCAATCTCACATATTCTATTCATTTTTTTTACTCTATATTTCTTTAAACATTCGGCTCTATTTCTTTCTTTGATGCAATATCTGTACCGCTGAACTTTCCAATACAATAGGCACACAACTTGGCCTCATTTTAAAAACACCAACACAAAATCTCAAGGAAAAAGAAAAGATAAATATAGCAGCGATCTAGAGCAAAATGCAAACAACAAATAGATGCCACTGTACGAAAGACAACAAATATACCTATTCACTAACAAACGGCAAAAAGGAGCAACCACATACAAAGAGAAAATAAACTACCTTAAATAATTATATTTACAAAGGCAAGAGGTACCTGGTATGTAGCAAGTGAATATACAAAGGCTACCCAAGTGATGATACAACGTCCAGCTAAATTAACACCTACTGCAAGTAAAACAATTGAATATACCTTAAAAAACCACATAACTACATCAACAGAGAATAAATTGGAGAGTATATTGTTGAATTACCTGGAAAACTCCAAACTCAAATGAGCAGAAGCACCTGTTGAAGTTGATATGACATATATCCAAGACCAAAAGCACCAAAAGCTTATAATCTATTAACACACAAATTATACAAATAGTTAGAACTAATGAACACTCTAGTTTTACAAACTCATAGAACAAGTTTTTTTACACACATGAAACAAAGTAGGGAATTATGTGGATGCAAAATAGCAACAAAATAACACTTCAACATAAAAACTGACAAAAACAATTATCCACTTTGATGTCATGATATAAAGTCTACACAGAACAACACTTAATGAAGTTACACAAATGAATATATCTTAAAAACCACATGTAAAAATAAATATTCCAACATATAACCACATCAACAGAAAATATATATAGTTGAATCATCTGGTAAACTCAAATGAACAGAAGCACCTGTTCATATTTTGATGTTCATATGTTGATATGACAGATACCTCACAACAAAAGCACTAAAAGCTTAGCATCTATTAACAGACAAATGATGCAAACAATTAGACAAAATAACACTCTTGAGTTTTACAGAATAAAGGTTAAACTCACCAGAGAAAGTTTTTTTTTGTTTTCTTGTGCACACAGGAAGCAACAAAGTAGAAATTTGTGTGGGTGCAAAATAGCAAAACAAAATAACACTATGAAATATAAAAACTACAAAACCTATCAACTAAAGTTAAAATATAATTTTAAAATGTACCTAATGTTTTAAAAAATATCACCTAAATTCACAATGTAAGAGAAATGATTGCACAAGAAACAATCACATACACAACGCCATCAACCTTCTATCTCCAGATGAAGTAAAAAAAAAAAAGAAGAAAAGAACAATGTGCATCATGTACTAATACCACACTCAACATAGTAAAAAATACTTATAATATTACTTTACCATACATGGCACCCCAAAAACATCAAATCATAACTTTTATATATAAAAATACATGGACACAAATTACCCTAAAAAAAGATATTTCAAGAAAAAGCTGATCACTTTTACTTAGATCTGTACACTACTGTAATAGTCATTATACTGCTGCAATAGATTTCTCAGAATGCATAAAAAAACTATAAAAACACTGCAAATAATTATTTGGTCAAATTCATTCTTATCCTTCACATAAAAAAACCCTAAAACAAATTAGCAAGCCTGATGTTCACCCCAAATTTAAATGAATTGGGCTATCTTCGGCCCAATTTATGCACATATTTTCAACCATGAAAGTACCCAATCAAAGAGGAAAAAATGAAAAATTAACATGATAGAATAATCAGTAGAACATCTCCATGTTACTCGCCTTTTATATTTATAATTATCCAAAATCAAATTCAACTGAAACATAGAGCTTATATGTAGAAACAGGTTGAACCCTGCTCATTCCCTGCACATCCAGCCACCCATCTGTAGAGTTAAGCTGACGTCCACTAAATTGGAACACAATGCAGATAGTCACCCATGTAACGAAAACCTTGCATAAATTTAAGAACCATAACAGAAAATTAAAGCACCCACAAATAATAATAATAATAAAAAAAATTAGGGCAAAGAAATTAGGACTGGTACATCAGACAACGGATAGGGCAACCGCAAAATATAACAACATGTTGAAAGATGTCCTCAATCGGCACATTTGAGAACAAATATCGCACACAAAAGATTGACCAATCGATTATACGGTACCTTGGCATGTTCTTAAAATCACCCGCCAGCCGCCGCCCAAATGCGAACGGCATTTCTCATCGCTCCTCAAACCACAACGGATTGGTCAGGTTGCAGTCCCAAAGAGATCTACCTCCTACTGCGCTATGGACCAAATCGAGCCCGACTTACTGAGTCGCTATGCATGGAGAGCAACTCAAATCACAGTCTCACCCATAAAAAATTAAGCGAGAAATAATAACATAAAAATGTGTAATTGAAAAGAAAACGAAACAAAAACTGATAAATTGAACAAAATCGGCTGGAAAAATTCACGGGGATCTGCAGAAAGGAGAAAAAGAGAAGTAAAGAAATGGGGGCCGATGGAAAGAAAACTCTTCAACTCAACTCAATAAACTAAAATAAACGACAATTTACTAAATATTCATAAACAACAAACTACTAATGATGATATTATAGGCAATTGAAAATGGTGCACATGTGAGCCAATGGAAAGAAAAAAAAAAGCCTAAAAAAATGAAGTGAAAGGACAAAAAAACCAGCTGCTACCCATTGTAAGTGAAACATAAATAAGGGTGATTTAGTCTGCACAGGGGGACACGTGTCGACCAACAAAGCCACCTCCTATTGCCTTATTAATATAGGAGACAGATATATAATAATACTCGTACTTACACGAAGCACCAGTGGTAGAATAGTACCCTGCCACGGTACAGACCCGGGTTCTATTCCCGGCTGGTGCATTATTATGTGCTGTGATGATTACATGCGCCCTTCAGTGGAAAATGGGTTATCCACTTCAATCTGATGTTTAGACGAAATTGTAGGCGCATCTGAGCATATATGTTCCTTTTTTTTTTATAAAAGAAGATTTGAAAAACCTTCAACTAAGTGTGGTTGTTTTTGTTTCTTTTCATATTTTTTGCCTCAAATATTTTTATTTGTAATTTAACATATTACAAAATTTGTGCACACATTTTAAGTATATTAAAATTGGCAGTGTATAAACACAATGATTTAATAAAGAAATATACAAGTAATGTTTTTTAAAATAATAAATATATAAATTTTATATTAATTTTTTTAAAATACTTCTCCATTGCATTACTAGTGGTACATCAATTGATACACAATTTTTAAACAATAACGTTTCATTTTCACAAGTGAATGAGTGATACACATTTTTTAAACCTAATTGAACTACAAATATTTATTTTTCACATCCATAAGAGCTCCCCATATTTTTGAGTTCCTATTAAGATTATAAGTAGCTATTTCATATTTTTGTTGAATCTTATAGGAGGTTCGGTCCATTATTAAAATGAACACTTTTAATCTATATTTTAATTTTTTTTTTATCTCCAATTGTGAGAGAATTCAAGGGCCAAGTATAACTATCTTGTTGCAATATCAACTTGTGATGTCTTCGCATATGCCAAAGTTCTTGCTTCGCACAAAAATAGGTTAGATTCTTCATCATTCGCAACCAAAACTTGTGAACATCTTGGGTTTAACAAAGTATTTTCTGGCCATATACAATATTGTCAAAATGTAGGTCTCTAACATATGACCTTCCACTTTAATATATATATATAGGGGTTGATTCAAATAAAAACTAGTCCTGGTGTGAGAACCGTGAGAACCATTTTTGATGCTATTTTTAATTGTGCATGATGCTATTTTTCATAGTAGATGATGCTATCATTTTTACAAGTGCTACCAGAAATTGTGTTGCTATTTTTAATAAAATTCATCCTAATTAAAAATAGCATCAAACACAATCAATCACAGCACTACGCCCAAATAAAAATAGCGGTTCTCACGGTTCTCACACTAAGACTTGGTTCTTATTTGAACCACATCCTATATATATATATATATATATATATATATATATATTTTAATTTAGAAAACATTCAACTAAGTGTTTTTTTTCCCATATTTTTCGTCTCAAATATTTTTATTTGTAATTTACCAAATTACAATGTGTGTACACGTTTTAAGTTATTAAATTGGCAGTGTATAAACATAATGATTAAGTATATTAAATTTGGCGAATAGCTACCAGCCAGTTCTGATCTTCTTGTTAGCCGAATTCTGAAAGACAGGTACTTCCCTAACTGTCCATTAATTGATGCTGTGAAAACTCAAAAAGGATCCTGGTTGTGGAATAGCTGGTTGGATATGATGCCATTATTCTCCAAATGGTTAAAAACTGAAATACGGTGTGGTACCACAACTAGGATTTCAGATGTAAATTGGATTCCCAATTATTTGAAACCTAAACCCAATATTTTGGAAATTGCTAAAGATCATTTAATTTGGGTTAAGGACTTGCTGATGGATAATGGTTTAGGCTGGAATGAATGGCTTTTAGACAGGTATTTGATGCTTCAGATAGTGCTTCCATACTTAATATCACCTATCTCAAGCAAGATTCTCGAGACAGACTCTATTGAGGTTTAGATACAAAAGGGATCTTTTCAGTTGCTTGCACTTATAAATTCCCGTCTCTACAAAAGCTCTTGGGGTTGGACCAACCCTCCAGCAGCCCTCTTCTCATCTCAGGGAGTCCACCTTCTTCAGAAC